CTACCTGTGTGCGTGCGCTTGTGCCGCTGCAGCTCGTCGGAGCGGGTGAAGCGCTTCCCGCACAGCACCCACGTGCAGATGAAGGGCCTCTCGCCCGTGTGCCACCGCAGGTGAGCCCGCAGGTGAGAGGTCTTCCCGTACACCTTCCCGCAGCCCGGGATGTGGCAGATGTGCTGCTTCTTTTTACCTGGATCCCCAGAGCTCCTGTTAAAAAAAAAAACAAAAAAACAAGGGGGAAGAGTTAGACCCGCCCCTTGGAGGGAGAACTGAGCTCTGCTCTGTCTGAGTCAAGAAAAGTCTGGATGAGTGAAAAATCAAGGGGATGTCGCTCCAAGCCCGGTTTTTGTCCCTTGGTGCAGGTTAATTGTCTTTGCTCTCTGTGTGGAGCAGCTGTGGCGTGTCCTGTGGGGAGAACAGTGAGCAGACACCCCGAAAACCGGGGAGGAAAAGGGGAGAATTTGAGTTGTGAGCTGGAAAATGTGAGTTTTGGGAGGCTTTTTCCAGCTCACTCGTGGCTGGCATCCATCCCAAGGGGAGACACGCCGAGAGGTTGGGGGGCTCCTGGGTTTTGCTTCTCTCTTCTTTTGCCTTAAAACAGGTAACACTGAGCTGGGGGGATGTGGATCTGCTGGAGGGCTCTGCAGAGGGATCAATGGGATTAGGCCCACCATGTGAGGTTCAACCAGGCCAAGGGCTGGGTCCTGCCCTTGGGTCACAACAGCCCCATGGAACACTCCAGGGATGGGCAACAGCAGCTGGAAAGCTGGAAAAGGACCTGGGGGTGCCCAGGTGGAGATGGGGATGTGGCACTTGGGGACATGGGTTGGTGGTGGCCTGGGCAGTGCTGGGGAAACAGCTGGACTCGGTGACCTCAGGGGCACCTTCCAAGCTAAATAATTCCACTGGGGATGCCAGATCCGTGGTGGAGCAGCTCACCTGCCCTCTCCTTCTTTGCAGTAGGGACAGGTACAGGCTTCCCTCCGTGGTTTCCGTCCCTGCTGGGGCTGGGGGTCGGGGCTGGTCTCTCCCTCCTCCACCGCCGCGCTCTCGTCCCCCAGCCCGTCCCCGCTGGCACCGTGCAGACCCAGCTGAGCTCCGTGGTCACCTGGAAGAGAATGGGAGGTCCCATGAGAGTCATGGCAGGTTCCTCACCTGGGAGAGAGGAGGTTTGGCATTAGGGCTGGCTGCTCTGCCCCCGAGTGCACAGGCATCCAGATTTCCTGGGAAAAAGGCAGTGCTGGGCAAGCCCTTTGCTGTCAAGGACCGAAGCAATCCCAGATCAAAGCACCAACCAGGGAGCAGAGCCTGACTCGGCTCTGCCCACGTCACAGGGCACAGGGAGCAGCTGGGATGCCATCCAGGATGTCATCACGTGTCCATGCCCCAGCATCCCGTGTCAAAGCACACGTAAAATCCATATATCCCTGCAGATGGTCCCCTTCAGTCCCCTCTGGTCACTCAGGGAAGGGGGAAACACTTGGCTGAATCACAGCCTGTGACCCGGAGCTCTGGCTCCAGCCCTCATCCCAGAGCCCCAGGATGCACAGGAATATTGTCCCAGGCCAGGCCTGGCTGCCTGATGCCACCCCAGGGAGGAGGAAACTGTCCCTCTGACGGTGACACAATTTTAAGCCTCACCCGGAGATCTTTGGCTGAGCCCTCCTGTACCTCAGCAGCCACATTCCAGTTTAGCAATTTTAGGACAAAATCTTTCCAGTTTCCCCCCTTCTCCAGCTCCTGGGATGTGTTTACAGTCAAACCCCAGCATGGAGGGAACCAGGGAGGGGGTTTTAAGCTTTCTAAGCCAACGCTGACAGCTTGTTACAGCCACGGATTAGAGATTCCCCCCCGGCCGGGAAGAGCTGCTGGAAAAAGGAAGGAGAAAACACACGTTCTCTCCCAAAAATACACCAGGGAGGGCGAGAATCCAGCCCTGACGCCTTGGAATGGCTTCAATCCTCAAACATGCAAAAGCCCACGCGGCGTTTTCCAGCCTGTTGGCACGTCAGGAGGAGGGGAACAAACCCAAATCCTCCCGCTGGTAATCTCTGGCTGCATCTCATCAAGGTATAAAGACATGATGGGGAGGGAAGGCAGATCCCAGACGTGCAGGGATCATCCCTCACTGACCAGGAGAGCCCAAGTCTCCAGGATATGGCAGGTTCAGGGGAAAGCTGGATAATTCATGTTTATTATCCCCACTAATACACATCACTGCTAAGACTAAAGCTTCCCTGGAGGCTCCCAGGCCCCTGCTCCACGCTCAGGTCAGCAAAGCCCTGCAAAAATATATTCATGGAGCAAGGAGGGGGGGGTTAATCCTTGGAAAAGCCTGGGGAGGAAAGAGGGACTTTAGGAAGGTGGGAGATAGGAACTGATCCTGGCTCCTGAACCCAGCCCTGCTCTGCCAGCACAGGATGGGGACCTCTGAGACCCCCCAGAAACAGGGCAGTTTGCTGATCTCCCACTAAAAACCCCAAACCCCGGAGCCTTGGCTTGGGAATTTTCTCCAGACAAGGCCTTCCTTGTCTCCTACCTGCTGCTCAGAGGAAAAAAGCTTCGGTTTGGTCGCTTTATTTAGCAAACTAACAGGAGGCGAGAAATGCCCGGTGGAGAGGAGAGAGAGGAGCTTTCACATCCACCCCAGCCGACCTCAGGAAAGGGGAAACAGACCCCACGTTCATTTTTAGGGGAAGAGCTGGAAATAAAACCCAAAACCAACAAACCAGGGCTCCTTGTGCAAACTCTGCACCGCTGGCAGCCGTGCCAGGGCAGAGGCAGGAGAGGACAAGGGGGGGGAGTTGTCACCATGCACGACGTGGCTTCCAGGCACAAGGAAGTTTTAAGGCAAAAAGAAAGGGAAGAAAACCCAGGGAACCCCCAACCTCTTGGCATGTCTCCCCTTGGGATGGATGCCAGCCACGAGTGAGCTGGAAAAAAACTCCAAAAACTCACGTTTTCTAGCTCACAACCCAAATTCTCCCCTTTTCCTCCCCAGTTTTCAGGGTGTCTGCTCACTGCTCTCCCCACAGGACACGTCACAGCTGCTCCACACAGAGAGCAAAGACAACCAAGCTGCACCAAGGGACAAAAACTGGGCTTGGAGCGACATCCCCTTGATTTTTTGACTCGTCTGATTTCCTCAGTGATTTGCAAAATGAGTTAATCTGCACCAGGAGCTCATTGATGTAAACGAGCCAAGCTCTGCCTCAGCGAGTCCTGGGAGCTCAGGGAACACAGGGCCCAGCTGCACGAGGATGGGGCAGGTTGGGAGCCTGCAGCCCTCTGAGTAATTGTGCTTTAATTTGGGGGTTCATGACTTGAGAAGTCACCGGCCAGTTGGACAACTCCTGTAATTGCCAGAGGCTTCTGTGAGTCACGAAAAATGACACTTCCTTTGGAGAGGGAATAAATAGGGCTGGAGCTGATGGGTTAAAAGTGAGGTAGGGAATCACCTCGTCCACTTTGTGACATCCCTGAATCCTCCAGGACTTGCCACACACCTTTGTCGTGCTGCAGACTGACAGACAGAGCTCCTTTGCTCTCTTAATTCCTGTCTGGATTGTCACAAAACTGGGATGAAGCCTCTGGTCTTGCCACAGCCTTCACTGGGGCGAAAGCACTCAGAGCACCATAGTACAGGCAGGTCCCATCAAACCACCCCAAAACCACTAGGGGAGGTAAAGAGAAAAATCCCTGAGTGAGGAGTATGAAAGGAAGGAGGACAAGGGTGATTCCCATGGGAGAAGAAGCCCAGCAGGCCTCTCCCATTGCACCTGAACCTCCGGATGCCTCTCGCCCACTGCAGCCAAGGGCAGATGCTTCTCCGAGCCACAGATCCCGAGGTTTTAATCACATCCCCTCCACAGAGGAGGAATCTGTGCCTGTATCACTCACAGCATCTAACCCAGGCATCCTGGGATGGGATGGGGAGCCGGCTGGAGGTGGGAGCCGACTCTCTGGAAAGGAGCCACATGGAAACTCCCCCAGCCCCGGGAGCCAGGATGCGGCTCCTGCACGGGGCGATAAGGATGGGGCTCCAGCAGGGCTGGGGTGGGCACAGATAAAAGAAAGGGGCAGATCAGGGCCCGGCAGACGGGCCGGAGCCGGGAGAGGAACCTCTCCCGGGAGGAGTCACGGGGTGGGTGAGCAGCACCCGACCCGTCCGACCGGCGCGGCTGCCAACCCAGCCCCGAGCCGAGCCCTGGCCTGGAGCAGGAGGAGGAGAAAGACAAGGAAAAGGAGGAGAAAGAGGATCAGGGCTGCCCCATGAAGCCCAAGAGCCACAGGGATTTTTTGTGGAGCACAACTTCCCCGGGACAAAGCTGCACTGCGTTAACACAGCCTCTGTCGGGATCACCCCCTTTTCCCAAGCAAACCCTGGGATCTCTCGGGATTTGTGTCCGTCCTCCTGTAAACAACAGGGAGAGAGGTCAGTCAGGGAATCCAGAGGGGATGTAAAGTCCAGCCCAGCTGGACTTTAGAGGAGGAAGTTTCACAATATGACTATTTTCTGACGTGATGTCATGGGCGCAGTGAAACAAAGCGACGGCACGTCACGGAGAGATCCTGTCAGGGCTTGATTCCCCTTTTCCCCTCCCCTCCACACTCGATGCCATGCAGTTGTCTCATCAAGGCCCTGCTACAAAGCTGCCCTTAAAAACAGAAAACAGGAAACAATCAGGTCTTTGTGCCAGTGGCCTGACTCTGGGAAGAGCCCTGGAAGGACAAAGTGGCAGCAGAGAGCCAGGATGTCTTTGGTGAACACATTCCCAAGGGTTACTTCCCCTGTGGAGGATTTTTTCCTTTCAGGACAGCCCTGATGTCCAACTGCTCAATTCTCCCACAGCCTCCATCCTGAGCCTTGGAAAGGAGCTCGTCCTGCCCACACATCCCTGGGCAGGGGCACCCCCCCAGTCCCACCAGTGCTCTGGGCACCCACCAGCTCCATCCACCCCTAGAATCAAACATCCTTTAGTGCCCCCCAAAACAAGGGGGTTTAACTCCAGAGCTGAGCTCAGGGGAAATCACCAGCCAGGTTTACCCAGCACACAGCTCAGCCAGGTAGGGCTCTGCCAGGGGCAGGGATATGGGGGCAGCAGGGCTCTGCCAGGGGCAGGGACACGAGGGCAGAGCCACCAGCACTACATGGATATGGAGCTAAGAACAGCCTCCTCCTCCCTACGGTAAAAGGGGAAGAGAAACCCCGGTGTCACAAACTCCCTGCCACCCCCCTCTCCCCAAGCAGGACGTCCCCTCCCTGAGCGGGCTCGTGGTGACATTGGGGTGACTTTGGGGTGACGCTGCTCTCCTGGCTCACAGCCCCACTAAGGGGTCCCGGTGTTCCAGCCCCCACCAGTGCCCAGCACACCCCCAGAGCCCCCGTCCCTCACCCAGGCCAGGCCTGGTGCCCGCCCCGTGTGGGGAGCGCTGGCACCAACCCCGGGGCGGGTTTTGGGGCACTGCCAGCCCAGGAAATCCCCTCCCCGGCTCTGTGGGCGCCTTCCCCTCGGAGCAGAGCCGGCTGCAGGGCCTGTTCGCCCACATACCAGCCCCTGACAGTCACAGACCTTCCTGTGCCTCCTTCCAGCCCGGCTGAGGAGGAGGAGGAGGAGGAGGAATCAGCCTTCAAGCCACCTCATTAGCACAGACGCTGAGTTCCATCGGCTCTGCCTCATGCCCAGGGAGCAAAAAAGCTGAGTTTTAATGCCCTTTTCGGGTGTCATTTTCGCCTGGGGGGGCTCTTTCCTTTGCCAAAAGGAAAGTTAAAAGCAGAAATGTCACCAGCAACTGCCCTTGAACTCCTGCAGGGCTGGGAGACACAGCCCCCCATCCACGGAGTGGGGTCAGGAGAGGGGTCACGGAGAGGCTGCAGACCCCAAGGAGGATGAGCTGAGCTCTGGCAGGATTGCAGGAAGGGGCAGCAGATGTGGCACTGCGAACCCAGAGGGACAGTTGGGACCACCACAGCCCTTGCCATGCACTCCTGTTTCCTACCCACCACCCCACAACACGCTGCAGGATCCAAGACCAGCTACAGCCTCCCCTGCCCAGCAAGCCTGGGGCTCGTTTTCCATTCTCCTCCCCTGGAAACAGAGGAGCATTTTCTGCTACAAAAATCCCTCCCAACTCTTCGCCTCGAGCAGAAAGTTCCAGCACATGTGGGGCGAACTCACAACCACTGGGGAGGCTCCACATGGAAAACGCTCAGGGATTTGGACGACAGGCAGTGTTGGGAACAAACTGCTCTCTCAAATTCCCACTAGGAGGGACCCGCACTCACAGCCCCTGGTGGGATGGACCCAGGTCCAGGGGGGGTTCAGCACCCCTTGGAGAGGGGCTGGGGGACAAAGGGACCCATTGCCACGTCTGACTGGAGAAAAACTCCTCCAGCCTGGAGTCAAACCACGTAAATCCTGTCACTGGATCGGCACCAGGAAGCTTGTCCTGGCCACAGCTTCCACCATCTCATCCCAGGAGCCTCCCGGACCATCCCACCGAGCTGGGTGCCCCCCAAAAAAACGCTTGGAACCCCTGCTCTGGCTTTTCAAATGTCAGCACGTCACGGCAGAGCGTGAGCTGTGAGAGGCGTGAGCTGTGAGCGTCACTTCGCGTCCTCGGGGCTGGGGCAGAGCCAGGCTGGGAATTCGTCACTGCGGATCAAGGGCTGAACAGCCGCTGTTCAGCAGCAGGAGGGGGAGGAGGAGGAGGAGGAGGAGGGAAGGAGGAGGAGGAGGAGGAGGAGGGGGAGGAGGTGGCGGCTCCCCAGCGTGAGCGCGTTGGATGGGTGGTCTCTAGAACGTTCCTCCCTGTCCCACCTCCGGGGGGCAGAGCCAGGCACGAATACAGGAACTGGGACTCGCCCATGCGTTTCTCCAGCGCCTTCAAAACAAGGAACAAGCTCGGCCTCGGCGTGAACAGCCCCAGGCACGGGGGGAAACCACACACAGACCCCCAACTCTCCCCTGCATCCCCACGGATCAAAGAGGCCACGGGCGTCACCCCCCTCCGCGTCCAGCCCCTCGCGGGTCTCTCTGCTCGGGGAAATCCAAGGATCAGGCTAATCCCGGGCTGTAGTAACCCGTGGATGCCTGCGAGCCAAGCTGCTGTAGCAACAGCCCAAAATAATGCTGCAAAACAACCCCGGGAGAGCAGCAGCCGCCGCCTCTCGCGAGAGGGGAGCACGAGTTGGATTGAGCAACATTTTCTGCTGCCTCTCAGCTGTGACTAAATCCAGCAACAGCCCTCTTAGCCAGAGCCAGAAAAAAAAAAAAAAAAAACCAACAAAAAAACCCCAAGGAAAACAGTGGAAAAGCAAGCAGAGAGCCTTCCCAGAACCGATTCCTTCCGCGGAGGGAGCTCACGGCCCCTCGGACTCCAGGCACGGCCCCTCCAAGGGAAGCCAAGCAGCCTCCAGCTCACTCCCCACACCCACATGTCCCCCCTTCCCGGGCAGTGGGAGGCGATGGAACAGATCCAGGGGGATCTGAGCAGGGTGCCCTGTGCCCACAGGACCACGAGGAGGTCATGGTGTCCTGCAGCAGCACCCGGACACTTCACTTTGTGCCCTTTCTTCCTCCCCTGTGCGGAAATTCCCCGTGGCTTCGTGACTGTGTTTGTTTTGACGGGGTTTTCAGTTAATCCCGAGTTTTCTACAGCCCGGACTCTTTCCTCAGGCTCAGCTGAGGAGCTGAGCTGGACTTGGGTTCTCCCTTCAGCCCTGACCCAAGACCCCCTGGGTGGCCATCGGGGCAGGACAGTGGCCTCACACAAACCCACACATCCCCTTTGTCCCCCCACCTTCCCCCTCACAGCCACCTCCTCCCTTTTCACTCAACCCAAGAGTTAATTAGCTCAGAAGCTCCCCCCCAAAAAAAGACTTTTAGTGCCTTGTGGTGATCCACAGAGCTTTCATACTTCCTCCCGAGGGAGGAAGCCAGCCCAGATGCCAACTCCATTTGGCACCGACCACCCCCAGCCCAGCCCTGGCACGGCCCAGACGCGGCCGAACCCGGCCGGGTGACGCCACTTCCCCCTCACCTTCCTCTGCCTGGCTACAAACAGGAACCAAAGCACTCACCAGGGGCGTTGGCGATGGCCAGGGGCAGCCCCTGCAGCTGGTGCACCTGGATCCCGGATGCTCCCAAGGCACTGAGGTTAATAGTCTGGAGGCCCGGCACGGAGGAGAGCTGGGCAGCGTTGACGGTGACGGTGCCGCTGGGGAGGGAGGCGATGGGGGTCAGCGTGGTGCTGGTGCTGCCCGTCTGCCCCAGCGACACTCCCTGCATGGGGGCCAAGGTGATTGTCTGGGCCTGGGGGTTCTGCACCTGCAGGTTCTGGAGCTGGATGGTCTGCCAGCTCACCTGCCCGTTGGGACCCACCGTGGGCGTGCGGATGATGATGGGGCCGGAGTTGGGGACAGCTTGGAGCTGCAGGTTCTGCAGGGCGTCCTGGGAGATGGCTTGAGTGGCAAAGGTCTGGCCGGAGAGCGGGGCGGTCTGGAGGGCCTGGATTGTCTGCCCTCCTTGGACCAGCTGGGGCTGGATCAGGATCTGCTGCTGCTGCTGCTGTGACTGCTGGCTCTGATCCCCCTCCTTCTGCTGCCCTGGCTGCAGAGCCACCCCGGACACGGGGCTCTGCAGGGAGTCCGAGCTCGGGACACTGCTGGCCCTCTGGGGCGTCTGTGCCTGCGAATTGGTTCCCACCGTGGCGCTGGTGGAGAAATTCATGACCCCCACGTTACTGGTGGTGGTGGTGGTGGAGTAGCTGTTGGCGTTGGTGAAGAAGGCGCCCGAGCTGGCCTGGGACGAGGCCGTGCTGGCAGAGCTGCTGGTGGCACCCGAGGTGGCCGGCTGGGAGCTGCTGTCCGGGGAGCCCGAGCTGCTCAGGGTGCCCGTCTGGGACGTGGGCGCCAGGCTGGCGGCCACGCTGTTGACCGGCAGCAAGGTGATGTTGCCGTTCAGGGCCACGGGCACGTTGGCCACGTACTGGGTCTGCCCAGAGAGGCTGTTGTTGGCCAGGCCCACGCCCTGGATGGGCACTGCCTGCTGCAGCAGGTTGGGCATGGCGATGAGGTTGCTGCTCCCCGCGCGGCTCGTGATGATCTGCTGGTTGGAGCCGGGGATGATCTGGAGCTGCCCGGAGGCATCCTGCTGCACGTTCACCTGGGCAGGGGTGGTGGCAAACTGCAGCTGCTGCCCGTCTATGGTCTGGAACTGGGGGATCACCTGGTA